GGGGGGGGGACTCCCTTATAAAAGGGGGCGGGGGTCCTCGTCGGAAATTCCGAAAATGACCCCTAAAAGGGACCTGTATTTTGGTATGATGGGCGTGGCAGTGATGAAATTTCACCCCTAAGAGGGACCAATCAATAACGCATGTTTTGTTTGGTTTCTCGATTTTATTTGCATTAAACGCCGTTTGCTCTGACGAGTTTATGTAGACGTCGTCATAACAAATCGCTTGCCTTTTTGTAAATCTTATACCCTAAAAGGGACCACAAAACCCTGATTTCAAACCCTAAAAGGAACGACGAGGACCCCCGCCCCCTTTCATAAGGGAGTCCCCCCCCCCCCCCCCCCCCCCCCCCGGGTGTTTAGAATCACATCTACCGTAGTGCAGTTGGGGCGTGTTGCTTGTATGCAACAAGCAACATGCAGCAAAACCTTTGCCTGCGCGCAGATCGAATTTAACAAAACTTACAAAAATTTACCAACCTTTTTTTGATATAGCTGCATGCTAAGAGTATAAAGCATTCTTGTCTAAAAAAAACTAATTCAAAGACACAGGTTTCACTGACCTTTTCTTTAGTTCCTGGATTTGAGTCCTCATCTTTTCAGTTTCTTCGCTGTACTGGCGGATAAGCCTTTCATCCTAAAAATGGACACGATAATCATATGTATAAAGGCATGAAACGTATACACTTATTTCAATAAAGTTAGTCACCAAAAATCTAGAAAGCTGAGATCACTGAGCATCATGGGAAAATTTTTCATATAAAAAAAAGCATATATATACAAAGCTTTTTTAATACAAACTGCAGCTCGATGATGCTCAGAAGAGGTGAGACTGTAACCGGTAAAAGATTCTCAAGTCCTTGAACAGTTATCAAGCGGTTGAACGTGTAAAATGAATCTACCCATAATCCTTGTCGGCCTCAGCTTTATAGCTTTTCAGGTGACTAACTTYATTGAAATAAGTGTATTTATTTGAATATGTTGAAAAAACTATTTATATGCTTACTATACTCTCAAATTCTACTTTACCTTTGCTATAAGTTCGTCCTCCGTTTGTAATCGATGTATAATATATTCCTAAAGAAGTTTTGATATATATCGTAAGACATCATATTAAACCTTTATCATCTTTCAGACACTACCTTTCTTCCCATATTTATTGTAAAGCGAACCTCTATATAGAGTTCTTCTAAGCTGACACCATGTAAAGTACCGAAGTTAACCTGCTTAATAAAAGAACCGCTCAATAAGGTTCCTAATGAGCGGCAATTGCTGACTTCTAGACCAAGTACAGTGGCCCCTCTATCAAGAGGACACCTTTTGGACTTTAGAGTTGCCCGCTGAAGAGAGGTTTGTCTACAGCAAATATGGAAGAAAAAATTCCCAGTCATTATCTGAGGTAGTGTCCGTTTAATGAAGGATGTCCGCTTAACGGAAGTTCGTTTTACTGTAAATGAGAAAAACATTTTGGTCGTACTCCAAGGTAGGCTCATACTCTACGCAGACGTTCTTAGACACTAAGAAAGTCTGCGTAAGGAGGCTAACCCCAAGGTAGTGTTCGCTTAATGAAGGGCGTCCTCATAATACAGGTATCACTGTATGAGAGATAAATGGTATACGTTACCTTGACAACGGCTAAAGTAGCTGTGGAATTATGAGCAAGAGTTTGAAGAACCAATAAAGGAGACATCAGGTTACCTTTGTCGATATCTAGATACACAAGCGTTAAAGAATCACGCAACCATGAATGTCAACAACAAAATACCTGACAACATCACTATCATAAGTATCATATTGAACTGTGTTCGAGTATTGAACTATCACATTGACAATGCCATCATCTCCACTAACACTATCGTCATTATCCACTACAATCAACATTATATCACCAATAAAAACATCACTGTCATAAGCAGTATGTTTAACTATACTCCAGCATTAAGTTATAACAGTGACGCTTCCACCATCCCACTAACACTATCAACATCATCCAACACAATCATCGTGAACCAATAACATCGGTCATAAGCCGCCATATTCAACTGTGTCTTTAATCGTAATTATCCCAAGCACCATTCCGTCACCACCACTATCGTCGTTATCCATTATCATCACTGTTATATAAACAATAACAACATGACTGTCATAAGCAGGATGCTCAAATTCTAATGAGCATTAAACTTTCGCATTGACACTGCCACCATCTCCACCACCCCTATCATCATCATCTATTACGATCACAGTTATATCACCAATAACAGTGACACCACTGTCGTAAGCAGCATATTCAACTGTGTCTTCAATCCTAATTATCTAAAACACCATTCCACCACCAACACCATCGTCATCAACCATTACCATCACTGTTATATAAACAATAATAACATGACTGTCATAAGCAGCATATCAGTTCAACTGTGTCTTCAATCGTAATTATCATTATCATCCATTACAATCACTGTAATCCAATATAACAACACCACTGTCATAAGCAGCATATTCAACTGTCTTCAATCGTTATTCTCTCAAGCACCATCCCACCACCCACCAGGTACTATCATCATCATCCATCACCGTCAACTTCAACCACTGGGACCTCTCATCAGCATCAATGACATCGTCATTACAACCACCATTATAGTTCATGCTATTCTCAAGGTTACAACAGAAGGATACGTGATAGTACTTCCATTATCTGTGTCTTGCAATCGGTTTCTTTACGCGCGAAATAAGACAATGCCTGTACCCACAGACCAGGGTCTTGAACACCATATTTCTTGCAAGTATCTATGACATTATGATAATCATTCTGCTCCATGTGATAATGCAGTATTTGCTGGTATCTAAAAAATAACCATAAGAAAAACTCTTTATTTAAGCGTTTAGTGATTTCGCGCTAATAGGCCCTTTGCAGTTAACGATCATGCGTCTGTACTGGTGAAAAAAACTTTTATTTTATATTAAATTGGTGATTCTTTTTAGCTACTTGTAAAGAACTGAATGAAAAGATGTGTAACCAGTGCGTTACGAAATGCAGTTTTATTACGATCTCTCGAAACAGGTTGTAGAAAGTTTGTTTGCTCACCAGTATGTTCACCCATGGGAATCAAGATGTTCATTCATTTGCTCTCAGTGAATTAATCAGCACGTGATTACTGAGCTGCAAAGTGCCTTTTGGGGACACTTTTCACTCACACAAACTACCACTTCTTTCTATGTTCTTAGCACACAACGCTCAACTCACATGTTAATTTTTACAGAGACAATATGTCGATATACTGATAAATCTTAATTAATCTCTTTTTAAGGCGCTTTGAAGTAGGGCGCTAATTAGGTACCTAATTAGCGCCCTGCTTTGAAGTAATCTATAGCGAATGAATATGAATACTATCTAATGTCTCGCCAGACATGCGCCATACTGTACTACAAGGCTGGTGATCAAACATATATTAAGTTCTGTTACTCACAGCTTAGCTTTTTCATAGAGGTAGAGGATTCCTGCTTTGAAGTGATGCATTTGGGCAAGCACCATAGCATGGTCCAAGTCATACCCAGCCTGAATTAGAATAAAATCACATGCGGTTTATATGGTGTCCACTCAATTGAGATTTGTAATACGGTAAATATGCAATTACACAGTGCAATTTCTCTGCAACTTGTCTCGCAACAGTGTTATGACACAAGTTGAAATAGGTTTACTCGGTGCAACGGAGACGCAATCGTTGCCGAAAGTAGAAACGAATTGCACTTTTTGCAGCGATTGCTGCAACATGTCTCGCAACATTTTTCAAATTGCGCTGTAGGTTACACGCTGCAATGCTCCATGCAACTTGTGTCGAAACGATATTGCGAGACAAGTTGCAGAGGAACCTGCTCCGTGTAATCGCGCCTTAGATATGGGGAAATGTTTTGGAATCATGCAACTAGCTGTCCGTTTAATGGAGGTAGGTAACCAGTCATTTAGACCCCTCTTGCCCCTTGAGACTTTTCAGTACCTCAGTGTTTGTTAGTAAGTCCAGTGCCTTTTTCTCGTGACCAACCTGAGACTGCAAGTGAGCAAAACCACTGATAAGATTCAAGTACGTCAGCAATAATACTATAAGTATGAACTTACGAAACAATATGGCGAATTTGTAGCCGCACTGAAGTCCTGCTGTAACCTCAACGACGCGCTGTGAATCAGGGGTCACATGTTACGGCATGTCGTAACTTGCATTTGCTGTAAGTCAGTACCAAACCATTTCACTGTATCGACATGTCGTACCGTGTCCCTGCAGTCGTTTCCCACTTATAAAATAACCGATTTGGCTGTATCGTTTTGACGCGTACAAAAAAAGTGTCCTAAGGCTGCATTTCACCGCATTTCAAATCAAATATCGAGTGTCTTACCTGTATATTTGACTCGTGTGCTGCATTGTTTAGATAGAGCTCTAGGAGTGTGTTATACAAGAGACTGGATGATATTGGTTGCACCTGTATCGATACAAGAAAGYACCTTAAGACTAATAATAAAACAGAAAAAGACATATTGACAATCTTGGACAAAACTATTGAGACTTAATAAAATACTCAATTGTACGATTAATCTTTATTAGTCCCTTTCACAGTTACTTGCGCCATCTTGAAAGGTAGCCGTGCCTTTGCATTGAAGCGAGACGAACGGTGAGCTTGCAATGTGAATAATTGTTCAAGGTGTTAAAAAAGGTCTCTATCATTGCAAGCTCACCGTTCGACTCGCTTCGATGCAAAGACACGGCTACCTTTCAAGATGGCACAAGTAACTGTGAAGGGGAGTATTGTACCTCCATCTACCTCTCTGCTGAACAGGCGTTTTTTGACTTTGGCGTGTGTATTTTGATCTAGCTTGGGTATGAAACAACATGACAATACAAAGCATGAGGGATAAAAGATGTTTATACCCAAGCTAGACCACAATGCATCACGTTCGCCATCTCATTACAGGCCTAATATGTTGGTTCTGTTTGCTACTTACTTGTATCATGTGTTCCAAGAACTCTATTAGTTTTGCTTTCTGGTGAACAAAGATGTGAATGAACTCCTCAGGGCGTGCTTTCTGTGGCTTGTTGGATCCTGAAGACGCGGAAATAATTTATTAAGTCCCGAGAAAGAGTGTTTATGAGAAAAATAATATAACTTGCTTGTATATTCTGTTTTGTTTGCTTCTTCAAACGCTTCCTTGTTTGTTTGCTCACTCCTTTTTGCTTTTGTTTCTTGCTTGCTTACTTGTTTGTTTTGTCGTTCACTGGTGTGTCCGCTTATATAATAAATCGCTTATTTGTTCGCTTGTTTGTTCGCTTGTTTGTTCGCTTGTTTTGTTCGCTTGTTTGTTCGCTTGTTTGTTCACTTGTATGTTTGTTCTTTTTGTTCAATCTCTTTTTCGTTTGTTTGTTTTTGTTCGCTTTCGTGTTCGCTCATTTTGCTCGCTATCTTTGTTTATTTCTTTGTTTACTCGCTTGTTTGCCCGTTTTAAGCAAAATAGCCTGCATATTCTGCATGATAAATAAAAACGCTTGCGAACTCGTAAGCCTTTCAGTAATGTTTCCCCAACAACTTAGTCCCCATGTCACTAGAAAAAAGTGTGTACTTAAATGCACAAAATGGATGACAAATGACAGACATAGAAAACAAAAGCACTGTACCCTACCTGTCTTGACATCACCCTGACTGGGTCGGTAATCCGTACACAACCTCTTGAGTAAATTAGTGGCTTCATCAGGCACCTTGTTTACAAGGCTTTTACCATAATTCTTCATGTTACTCTCAGCCTACAAAGATCCATATGAAACATCAGAAACAAAGTTTCAAATCAAAAGTTTACGTTGCGAGGTAAATTATGTATCCATGGAACAGCCACAATACGATTAAGGTAAAGAGCCAAGTTCATATGATGTAGTAACGACTTTATCAACTTATGCCTATAGTAACGACTTTATGTGCTTGACTTTCTCTCTCTCTTTCTCCCTCCCTCCCTCCCTCCCTCCCACTCTCTCACTTTCCCGATCCCTTCATTGGAACATGTGATGTAACATGCGTACCTCATAAAAGTCTAATCTTGCTATGTATTCCAATGCTTTTTGATAGTCTTTCAGATCTTCCAGCTGAATCTTAAGATACCTACGAGTCGTCAAAACACAACACAAGTTATATTATCTAAGAAAAAATTTACGGGCCCACTGTTTACTTGAATGTTAGCAACTGGAGTATCCATGTTTTATGACAAAGAATTAGTGCTCATTTAGACAGGCGTTGTTAAGGTAGTAACAACGTAGTAAGCTTAGCCTAGTGTTCACTACCTCGACGTAAATCAAATGGACCAATCAGAATACATGTCTGTCACGAAACTATTGGCGGTCTCCGAGTAAAGCGTTGCGTGACGAGCAGAAGGTGGAATGCATCAACAGAAATCAAATATATGTCTGTCACGAAACTTCTTGCGTCCTCCGAGAATAGCGTTGCGTGACGACCAGAATATAGAAGGTTGCCTCAGTGTACTGGAAGCTAGTACTCAATACATCAACAAAAATCAAATGCACCAATCGGAACATAATATGAAAAAAGGTTTTTGAACATTCAATCGGAATGCTTGTTAGATCACTAACAAGCGTAGTATTTCCGGCCCTGTCATATACGTGCAGTGATACTTGACAATCATATTGGGGCCACGGAAGGGGTGGGGCAGGTGGCTACAGCCAATCTAAGCCCTCCCTCCCCCTCCCACACACTTTTTAGGGTACTCCGCAGCCCCCGTCATATGAGATATTTAGTTGTCCTTACCAGTCATGTTGATCAAATTTGTTGGCCAGATAGACTGCATGTTTATAGTAGCCAGCTTGTTTGCAAACCTGAAAATCAATGAAGGTTATAATTAATCCAATAATGTGTGTAAATATACGCTGCCTTTTTAAAAATGCGATGTTTCAGAAATTTAGGAAAGTTCTACCACCAGTTACTTACTTTGATTGCTGTCTCCACATCAAAGTTGAGTTCTTTTTCAGACTAAAAATTATTCGAGAAAAAAATAAGAGTTACTGCAGTCGACAGCAAAAAGACAACGTATGTTCCACATATAGTGCTGCCACAACGACCCGATCAATTTTTTCCAACACAATATCGATAAAAAAGAAGGGAAACGTATTTAGACAGACGCAGTTCCTGTTTACGAAGCAAAGAAAAAAGCGATGGTTATGGTAGCACATCACACTAAAATGAAGAAATAGACAACGCGCGCGCGTAACGCAATAGAAGTGCGCCCGAGTGCTAAGTGCTTGCAACCAATCAGAACGCGGGGTTTACAACTTCCAGTTATTTTCCAACACCTTTTTAATTGGTCTTGTTTAGCTTTATGTTTATCGCTTGTCGATTGGACAGACAGACCGCAGTCTAAACAGGTTTTACTGGTATTTATTACCAGTTTTACTAACCATAATAAATTCATCAAGCTTGGTGACGTCTTTGAGTTTGGTGTAGCAGTTGAGCAGTAACGTGGTGTGATCTGCATTAGCAAGACCCTGTTCATGCAGAGCCTTCAAAAAAAAAAAAAAAGAAAAATGTTATTGAATTTTTTTTGTTTCATTTTGCGTGCTTTTGTTTGTGTTTATAATATAATCAATTCAAGCCAATATTAAGAGTAAGACAAATTTACGCAAAAGTATACCCAATTGTCATTTAAATGTTTTGCAATATTGAGTTATCAAACCTGGGACTCAGGGGTAGTGTAGCTAATTATTTGCATTTTTTCTCCCCGTCTCGGGTTCGATTCCCAGACTTACCCCACCCCCCTCCTAGACTCCGCATTGCAAGTCAGTAGAGTTTGTTAGACCGCCTCCGCAAAACCTAGCATGCTGAATTCCAATTCAATTTTTGAGTTAGCTGTGCCCTGACTTTGATCATTCCAGAGTATGTTTCGGAGCATTAAAAATTTGAAAGTTCAAGGTCACAGAAAACGTCTTGAAATTTTAATTTAAAAAACGGTAACATTGAGATGGTACACTCACCTGTAAATATGCTGTAAGATTGTGAATTCTTTGTGCGTCTAGGAACTGCATCAAACAAGGCTTGTTAGTTCATTCACGATTCAAATATCTTGTTCACAGCCCTGTGTTGTACATACCTTTCGTATAACGTATGATGGTTCAAGGTGCCCAATAGTCTTGATGTATTGCTGAATTGAACCATCATGATCACCTTTGCTATATACATAGATTAAATGTCAGTAGCCCTATTGAAGACATAGAAAACGCGCGCACATGCTGTTTGCAGTTATAAAGCACCCGGGCGTTGGCAAATTACGAGAGAAGTGTTAGGAGAAGCACGACGCGTAGCGGAGTGCTTCTCGACACTTCTCGAGCGTTCTGTCAATCCCCAAGTGCTTTATAACTCCACACAGCACAGCAAACAAGTTTTTTATTTCTTTTCTAAAATACAAATTACGTGAATAACGAAACTGAAAGTGCGTGCTGTGTGCTCTCATAAAGCACGCGCTCCCAACCAATCAGATTGTGAGATTTAGAGCAGTTGTTTTATATTTCGCATTCAGTCGCACTTTTTTTCTTTTTTGCTTCCTTCCTTCCTTTTTGTATTTGACCTGATATATTTGGCTAAATTATTCTTCATTATAAACATCGCGCATGTGAGTGAATGTTGAGTATAATCAGATGGATAGATGAGTTTAGCCTTTTGAAAAGACTATCGTTGGTGGTGATGTTTCGACAACCTGAGCACTAGTCATCCTTAGTCAACCAAGTAACGCATTGGCTAAATGAGGAAACTCGTTTCACGGAATATGTTTACAGCACGCATTTTCCTCGATGCGACCCGGTTTTGCCACATATAAAACATTACTACGAGCGACAAATTTTGCTTTGGAGTCAGCAAAGAATATGTTTCTACAGTATGGCAAAAACATTCTGTGTTTGCACACCGCATGGAAACAATGTGACACTTGTTTCCCAATGTTTCCTGAAAGTTTAGCCGCCTTTGGAAACAATTCACAATATGTTTCCTCGTTTGGCCAGGGTTTAAGGGATGAGCAGAAAATTACTCATAAGATGTTGCAATATGTTGGCAGAGAAACCATCTAGTTACCTGTACAAATGATCACCATATTGAGTGAAGATATCAATCAACCCATCAGAGTAATGCTGACTCTTGGCAAGACTGATGAATTAAACCAAAAACTTCAATTTACAAAAGAGTAAGTAAAAATATCATAAAAACATTCTAATCAAATAATTCTTTTGGTAGCAAATATCAGTGAAAGTTCCACAGTTTATTCATGCAGTCGTTATATTTTCTTGACCATTCTAGCATGTGAGTCAGTCGATCCGATTGAGCGCGATCAAGCAACCGATTGACTTTGACCAATGGCAGTCCACCATGAACACTGACAAATCAACCAATCTATGCCCCCTCATTCGGTCTTGTGCACACATGCAATCGGAATTTGGCTTTATCTGAAAATCTGCAAATAACCTGGGTTCCAGAGCATCTATTGCTCCAGTGAAAACTATATAAAGTGATAATGCTTGTACATGTACAACCAACTTGTTACATGATTCCTACTTACCTGATAGCCATGGCATAAAGGTTTTTCTTGAAAAGAATTTCAAGTTTCGTTTGTGTGTCTTTCTCTTGTAATTGAATAATCTGATCAAACAGGAAAAAAACACAGGTTAAGAACAAAGCATAGATGCTGAATATATTCTCTTGCATAAAACTGAATATTTTAATCATTTCAAGATGTGATGGCCATTAACTTTGTTATCTGAGGTTTTTCAGAGAACATGTGTAGTGAGCTCTGAAAATGGCTAAACAAGGGTGGAGTAACGGTAGTAACGGCATAACAAGGGAGGATCGTTTGTTAAGGTTTCTCCCTGTATTCTTCCTTCCACAAAACATGATAAATTCTAAGTTAATCTTTGAATTAACCCAGCCCTGACTTTGATCAGCCAAAAGGCTAGGTATTGATAAAATATTAAGGATTTTTGGCTGTCACAGTCTGTTCTTCAGTTATAGAACATTACATAATAGTACTTATTGCACTAATAATAATGATAATAATAGACTACTAATATAAGGAGTACACTTACCTTATAGTCTGTAGTAACAATGTACAGGTTTCCCCACTCACATAGGACGTCAAGTACTTCGGTCACTGTGCCTGTGAAAGCTTGAAATAGAAAAAAAAAACACTTCTGAATCAATCTTTGCATAGACTTAATAATGTTCCGTGGAATGAATGATTGGCCAGGCCATGTTATCCTATCTGTGCATGCATCATTCTATGGGACCACATCAATCTTTGTTAGGTCTTTCCCTTAATTCAAGAGTTTGAATTCTCTCTGAGTTCTCTGGTTTTTCTTCACCCACAAAACCTAAAAAGCTAAACTCCAATTCTATCAGTTAGGTAGCTACTGTGCATGCCCTGCTTGGAAGAGCCCAGAGGTTATTGTCAATAAAATGTGCTGCTCTTTGTGAACAGAGTATCACAGTGCAGCTTGTGTTTGTATTCATGTTCATATCAAAACTCATGTAAGATATCATGTAGTTACGAGGAAAACATTGAATAGAAACCATAACTTATGTATGATAGATATGTATGAATAATATATCTATCAAATGATGTGTGTGTCTTTTCCCTGATGTTGGGATGATCAGTCAATGAAATTGGTGATTTAGTGTGGCAGGAATGTTAACTTATAAGAATCAAATGACTGTTGAAGGATAATATTTTATGCTAGATATTTTAATAAATGTATTACCAATGAACTTGTTCTGGATGTCATAAACAGTTACCATGTTAGCTACTTTATTTTCTGAATTCAATCTGTGGAATCAAACAGAGTCATCTTTAAATGAATTTGCAATATTTAACAAACAAAAAATGCAGAGTGTGAAAAAAATACCTGCTGAAACAACACCATCATTACCACTACCACTAAAAACAATGACTGCATTTACAACAAGTACTGCAGTAACACCTTCGCCATAACCACCAACAACAACAACCATGGCAGCAATGAAGTCTGCGCTCAATGAACAACAAAAATTCCTTAAAACTGCAACAACAACAACAACAACAACAACAACAACATACCCTGGCGCTGGTCTTTGTATTTTGGAATCCTTGCTAACAACCACAAGATAACCTCTGAACCAAGTGATCATCTGCTTTTCACCTAAAGTTTGTCCAACAAAAATATAGTTGATAATGTCTTACTAATAGATGTACCAGTTGATGAATGGCATAGGTGGAATGCTCAGCTGATATAACACTATCTCTTACTGCTGTATAGTTAAAGTCCGGAATCATGCATTGCATTCTCAACTGAACTGCATTAAACTATGAGAAATGAGGTGGTAAGCCGTGTGGGATGGGCTCGGAAATCATTTAAGAACATGCGTAATAGGTAAATTACAAGCCGTATGAAACGACTGAAGAAGAGGGACAATGGGCCTTTCACAACTTCAAGTCACGTAAAAAATGAGCCAGCTCAACTAGAAACCATGGACAGCTGTTTCGGCCTGCATTGGACCTCATCAACATGGTGTATCTAGTGAGCTGGTAGAATCCCAAGAAAAAGTAGTACATGAGAGATGAGGCGGTAAGCCAGAAAACATATAGAACATAATAAAATCAATCTTGAGCAATACCTTCAAAAGCAAGGCAAGGTCCTCTCCCATCAGATTGATAAAAATAAAGAGCCTAGAGAACAAAATATTACAATTATACATTTACCTAATTCATTTGCCATTGAGTGACCACATAAAAAAATGACTTCAAGTTGAAGCTGAACTTAACTGTTCATACATTTACTATAATACATTTATTGCAACCTTAGCTTGGAGCAATTGTTTCATAGTTAATCATTTTAAGTGAATTTGGGAAAGGTCTATCAAAATAAGAAAGGTTGAAGCAGGTGTGATCCTGGAATTTTAAAAGAGGGAGATGGATACAGGGTACTTAACACCAACACCACAACAAACCCAATTAAAGGAGGGAAAATGTTGAAAATATGGGGAGTATAGTCTCAAATTAATGAAAATTAAATATTAGAACTTTGAGAAAACCAAGTGAAACGCTATCCAGATATAAGCTATAAACAATTTCTTTTCATGCAGGGGGGAAGGGTGAATAGCCAGCCCCTCACCGCCCCTGAAACTGCCCTTGTGATGAAGGAAAGCATATTAAATGACAGAGATCGATATCAAATGAAGACACAAACCTCATTTCTTGCAATAATGATTTGCTGTTCTTGAGATAAGTCGCTTAACGCAGAACATCGTAGTGAACATCCATGAGTATCAAGCACTTCCTGGTATCAACCAATGATAACTAGTCATTAATTATTAACTTTAATTACTAACATTGCTTTTTAATGCACTTCAATTGCCTAGTTTTATTTAAACATATTTGTTCAATACATTAACCCCAAGAGCAAAAGCACTCATCTAGGGGGTCTATGTGCAAATTTTTACACAATCAATAACGTAAGAATATGTGAAAACGGAAAAATAAAGTTACAAAATTACAAAAAAATTAGCAATAAAATGCAATTCTTGATACCAATACATAATGATTATCATATAACAATGGTGATAACAAATGATGAGTCAGAGCAAAAAGAAATACTTAAGAAGAAAAATGCTTAAAATTTGTTTGCATCTTTTAATAAGACTAATAAAATTTTAATCTATCTAATTAAAAGATGTTCAACTATATGTATACTAACTGTAATGTATACTAACTTCAATTGGCTTAACCCCTTGCTAAATTTATAATTATTGTCATTCAATCAATCAATTATTTTCTCACTATTCTTGGAATAGCATTTAGGTGCCCCTCCACTAGAGTAGGCTACGACTTTAAAAGATTGCGAAGGGTTCTAGTAAGACATAACTCACCTTGAAGTCTTTAGAAGATAAATTGTATGAAATAACTGTATCTGTTGTTACAACAAAGAGAATGGTACTTCCTGTGGTCTGCCTGTATGATAAACCTGCAAAAAGATTGCATTGTAAAACCAATTTAATCAGATCGTTAATAATGGAAGCATAATTCTTCTTTGGGACTCTGTAAATTGGATAACTAATAGAAGTTCTATGTTATTATTAATTAGAAAATGACCAATATTACTTTATCAATGACGTTCACTTCGAATCATGTTTAGTTGATATACTGTATGATATGAGTTAAAATTAAAAAATTAAAAACTACAATAATTTGGTAGGGTAACTAGATTACACAGGTGTAATTTTCATCTAGGACCTTTTAATTTTTAGATGGAATTAGAATTTAGAAGTTGATTTGCTTTCCGGAGTGAGGAAAATAGGATGACCCAGAGAAAACCCCTTGAAGCAAAGGATAATAATTTATAATAATAATAATAATTTATTTACTTAATATTGTGCAGTCTAACATGCCAATATATGATCAAGTGCGCATAAGGAGCTCAGAATCAACAAACAACTCTACTCACATACCATGAGTCTGAGAATCAAACCCGGGTTGCATTGGTGATAGGCAAGACTCTCACAGCTACATCACCCATGCTTCCCTAGTAGGTTACTATCAGCGCTTAAAATAACCGCCAGTCATCAGACAATGTCCAGCCAGAATTGGAACTTCTCTGGTCAAATTTTTGCCTTGCCTGGTCATTTCGACCAGTAACATTAAGCAAGAAATGAGGTAAGACTATCAAGCTAAGACTATTTTTGTTGGTCATCGTGTCCAGTGACTGACCAGCCATTATTTATATCCCTTAACTTTAAATAAAACTTAATTACCAGTTACTGGATGCTTGTCTTGATGTATCATCCTCTGTTTGCTGTGCCTAAAGATCCAATTCATAAATTTTCATTTTCTTTCAGAAGGGTACGTAGGGTGTTGAGCAGTGGGTTACAGTTATGTGACAAAGAATAAAGTTTAAGAGTAGTTGGGACAGGTTGAGGATAAAAGGAGTTAAATCTGCATTTACTACCCTTCCAGACCCAACAGTATTTATTGTTGGAGCATTCTCCTATTTAGGTGAAATCAACTAAAATTAATAAATGTGTAAATTACAGCTGAAAATGGTCTTGCAAATTCAGGGTGTTTACTAGGGAAAAGGCTACATCCTTACATACCTGTCGCGTGTGATATCTCCTCTGTACACAACAACACTACCATCATCAAATCCTATGGCCATTTGAGTAAGGTTCTCTAAAACTGCTAAGCATGATACCTGATAATCATAAATAGCAAGATGACCTCAAATTAAGCATAATAATAATAATAATAATAACTTTATTAATGTCTCTAATCTTCTAGCCGGGCAAAAGTGCCCTACTAATCAGGGAGACAAAATAATAATAATGCTTAAGACTAAGGAAATAATACCACTTAGATAACCAAGTATAATCTTCTGACTAATTAACGATTAGACCTGCAGCTTGAATGGTCCATGACTCAATAGCTAATGAGCATAAAACTACTAATAAATTGGTCAAATAAATGGACACAAATAATGTTGAAATTAGGTTTAAATAATCTATTTTTTGCATCGTTTTGGTTTTCAAAACCTGCACTTTTTGCTACTAGTGGTTTGTTACTAAAAGCTAGTAAGCTCAGCCAATTAGAGTGCAAGAGACCATTAGTAGATATCATACTAATAGGCAATGGTCAAGTAAGTGTAAATTCCAAGAGTAATTCTTTCTCATGTAAAACGATTGTATTGTTCCTAGGCCATCTAACATGGCTGCCGTCACGTGGTGGTGCAAAAACCTCTATCTGAGGTGCAATATTAATAAATAATAAATAATTTGAAATATGTAAACTTTACTTTAATTTTTCTTACACACAACTGTAAACCTCACTATAACCTAGGCAGTTTACAATTTTCTACTTGAGTCGACTAGAAGAAAAGTTTGAATAATACAATCAAACGAACATTAACAAGCACAACAAATTATTATAAAGAAAAGGAAAAAACAAACAAACAAACAAACAAACAAACAAGAAAAAACAAAAACAAAACAAAACAAAAAAATAAAAAATAAAAACTAATAGTTTAACAATTCAGGATTTGACCATTCCTTATTTTATTATTATTATTATTATTATTATCATTATCATTAATTTTTACTTACTGCTACTGGTTTGTTTCCAGGAATTGCTCTCAGCATTTGACAGCACACAGGGTTCCCAAGTTTATCAGTCTGAAAGTCAAAAACAAAAGCATGTTCACTATATTAGGAATAAACTAGTTAAATAAACTAATATAGAATCAATCACGAAACATGGACTAGATCCATACCTTGTCAAGATTCCATACTCTAACTATGGGATTGATGCCAACTTCATCTTCCTAAATGAAAATAATATTAATATTAATGTGCAGTTCCAGAAATTACCCATCCCCCACAGAAGATTTTTTTAAAGATTCTCCCTCCCTCCCTCCCCCCAGAAATATTCCACTTTTCTTTTATGCAAACTCTATAATTTTATCTTTTTTCTGTCCCCCTCCCCCCTTCTCCCACACTCTTTAGAAATTCCAAATTCCTCCTAGGGTATAGTATTGTAGTATAGCATCATATCATAGTATTGTATATGTTATATATTATTATTTCATAGATTATTAGAATTCTAATTGATATTATTATACATTTTACTAAGCATCTCAATTGTGATTGGTTGAGAGCCCTCAGCCAATCCCTGATATCGTGTGAACTCAACATGATAAATGTATTATCTGTAGGTTTTCCTACAGATAGTACATTTATCATGTCAAGTTCATTAAAACTCATGCTGCGTTAGCTTTGTTTTTATTCATTATGTGTACTTATTTCCAGAATTATGTACAAAAACAATTATTTAAGGAATCCTTAACTTATTTTCATATATTTTATGAAGAATTCTCGAAATATTTCTGAATTACGAATTTTGCATTTTTCATGTGACATCATGGCGTTTATAATCCTTGTCTCTATAATTTAAAGTACATGTTAATTTTTTATGTTATCGCATGATATATCGTAAATTATCAAGACCGAGGCTGTGTTTGCTCAACCTCATCCAATAATTGCTTAATGCTTCATGCATTTTAATACTTAATTCAGTCAGAACACTGTCACAGTGTGTTCAATTTTTCAAAATAAACGAGTTATCTATGGATAATTTTTAAAAATACAAAATATGCATTTATTATGTGGGATCATTATTTCATTATCATCAAATACAATAAATTCTCTGTACTAACCCCAACAGAAACAAGAATATTATGTTGTTTCAGCTGGTACAAGTGAGACGCTTTTATCTCAAAGGCTTTAAATGAGCTGAGCTGCAGATCACGGTCTAGAAAATGGATACTTCCACTGTTATCTGTAAACAATTAAAGAAAGAAAATTTTACTTGTCCATCTAACAGTAGGCTAACTTCAGATTTTACAGTGCTTCTCAGTTGCATACTTAAAATTGTACAATTATTAGCTGGCTTGAGAAAATTTTAGGCTTGTTGTAGACAATCAAATTGTTACCATGACATTGTTAGAAAGCACGGTTTTTGTGGGCATTGTGCCTATCACCTTGAATGAAGTCTATCAAAACAATTACTTCATTGTGATTCATTAGGATTCTGATAGTTTTTTTGAGAACAATAATTGTAAAAAATTATGGCTAGATTTGTTTCAGGATCCAAGGAGATATAAATCTGGTAAATTTGAGAACCTTGTAGGCGATTGCCTCACACTTCTCCTGCCTCCGGCACTTTCTAAGTGCTGTATCATTATGGATCATGAAAAAAGCAGTTTTAAATTAAGTAAAAAATATATACTTGGTTATAGTTTTCAACATTCCAATCAGAGAGCATGCAATATCTAATTAGCTATATAATATAARAAACATGCATTACATATGATTGTACATACCACCAAATATCATCTGCCCCCTTCCACTGGAGCATGCAGAAATGTTAATGTCCTGTAACATAAATGTAATATAATTTTATGTAGGTTTTTTTCTGTTACTATGCTTGAATAAAATATTCATAAATGGCTCCAATCCTGTACTCTTCCATCACTTCAACAGTGGTTCCCCCTGAATAATATCCTAAATAATATTAGGCCAGGAGAATGACAATCATAGGGTAGATTTGCATCCAGACATTTTTGAAAACAGATGAGGCTTTTTTTCATTACTCATTATTGTGGATGTTACCTGAAGTTAATCAATATCAATCTAGACTTAGCATACTGCACCATAGGTAACCCACATGCTGAAATGACCTTGCATCAGCAGGGAGAATAAAAACCATGTAAAAATGAACTACTACACTGTAAATGTGGATGATTTGGAACTAGYATTTGGGGAATAAGAAGTAGCTTTTTATGCAAATAATGAATTTTTTTCTGTAAACAATGAAAATATTAGGCAGTAGCTATTAATGCACGCTGGTGGTGGACGCAAATCTATGCTCTCATTCTTTTATCCTTTAATATGGCTGATCAGGAAGCCTTATATTCACAAAAGAATGCATTGTAGTGCCTCAGTAGCTTTAATTGGTTCCTTAATGGCCTTGAGTCAATCTTATGTACTAGAGAGGGATTATGCATCCATAAAGTAGAAATCAAAGCAAATATGAACCCACCTCCCCAATCCCATCCTTTTTTAGCTCCCGATCTTCGCAGTGAAGGAAATTTCTTAACACTCATCAATCACAATAACCAAACATTTKAAATAAATAAATATAACGTTCCTTATTTGAGCTTCGTATGGTGTATGGTCTAATTACTAGCTTTAAGATCTAACAATACAAACTTCCGTAGACCCTGGGCTTTTTATTAACAACTATTTTAGTTTAAATAATTCGTACCTTGAGTCTTTCGTATGGCTGGTTGGTCTCGTGATCTTTTAAAAATTCTTTATCAAAAAAAATAAAGCGTCGCCACTTTGTCGAAAAAGAGATAAAAGTATTATAAAATAATGAAATATCTTGGATTTTTGTGCAAGATCTATTCAGATATTGCGATAAATACCTGTAAAAGAGCCATTTTAAGTTAACCCTGACACAACCTCGTCAATCCGCCATCTTGATTTTATTGCCCAGGTGTATTTCCACAGGCAGCCCAATATTAAAAACAGAATGGGAAAGGCCTTGAAAGGAAGTATAAAGGAAAAAATGGTAAAGAGAAATGTGAGACCATGAGTATTTTGAATATGTTGGAGAAAACAAGGATTGGATTCCAATACTTTGGAATTACTAAGACTAACTTTGAGCTTCAYATGAGCTAAACCTAATTGAAACGATGGGTAGCATTGTCTTTAATGTCATTAGGTTCGGCTCATGTAAATTTCGATGCTTGAGCCTAATTATGACAATCAAAATGGGATTATAGACACTTTGTTGGCCTACTTTGACTCGGATACTTGTACTGATATAGCTTTAGTAAGAACGGTTATTAAAAAGATGTATCCAGGAAGTCTAGATGCGGAACTTGGTCTTCAAGCTATGCCAGGGCTGTACTGCAGTAGTACTCTATCAATCTAGTGGGAATACACTAGATATTCTCCTGGCATAACTGGTAGTAACCCTGCTCAGGAAATACTGAGAGAGGAAGTTTGGGATGTTATAGCATTTCCCTTTGCTAAATATATCTTTTCAGTTCTAAGCAGCCTCTCCATTTTAGTTCTGCATTAGCAGAAAAAGAAACCTGGGAAAATTTGACATTACGGTGCAGTTTTAGGGGGGACAGTTTTAGGGGGGACAGTTTTAGGGGGGCAAAATTGATGTCATTTTAAAATTAAATGTCCCTTAAAACAGTCCTGCAATGCAATGCAATGCCAACTCCACCCAATGCTTTCCTCAAGTTTGGAAGGCTAGAGTGCAAACAATATATCCATATATGAAATAGCACAAAAACTAAATTATTTCTGTTTATAATAATTATATTGTTTCATTGGTGCTATTTTGTACTMATTAGTTAAGTACTATTTCACAGATATATACACTATACTCAGCAATAGAGGCTTTGCATCATCACATGAGGGAAGCCATGTTAGATGGCAAGAACAATACAATCAATTTACAAGAGAAAGAATTCAATTCTGAGAGCAAACGGATTTCATTGTTTTGCCATCTGACCACAGGCAGTCCAAGCTGTTCTATAATAGTCACCAGCATAGTGGAATAGAGGCACYATCACATGCTTTATGAATCCTGATGTTTAGCAGTTTGCAAAGTCATTACACCATGGAACTGTCTTTCCTTTGTATTACCTGCCCATGCAATTAGGCAATCACTCTGCAATGAGGCCAAATGGATGATATTTGTTTTTTTTTTTTTTGGATCCCTTCATATAATGCATACAGTAAACCCATAAAAAAGTAATAGTACAAACTGAACAAAATATTTTTTTTTCTATAGTCATCAAGTTGTGACATGTTTTTGGGTACCACTCCTCCAAAGAAATGCTAAAATAAAGCAAAAAATATTCTCAAAAACTTAATTTCCACCTTAAAACATTTAAAACTCTGGACCCGGTCATATGAAGGGTGGATAGCRCTATCTGAGAGATAAATCTTAATAATCCAGTGTTGAACTTATTGGATAACAGCATCGACTTATCCACTRGATAAGGATTTATCTGCCAGATAGCGCTATCCRCCCTTCGTACAACCAGGCCATGAACATAAAATCCAAGAATCTTTATATAGAACTACTTTTCTTTTTGAACCAGAAAGTCATTTTTTTCCCCATAAGAATGTCACCAAAGGCTTTTTGTAGTTCCAGAAAACATCCATAACCCTACTACAAAGGGAATTTATAAATATGAACCCCCACCCTACTACATAGCTCCAGGAATGTCCAATTTTCTTCCATACAARCTCTGTAATTTTGTCCTTTCTCTGACCCCCCCTCCCCTCCAGAATTTCCATTTTCCTCCATGGGTGGGATATGGATATTTTCYTTTCTGGAACTACACGTTGTACAATGTAGTTAGTACTTTTATGTGGGTTGATCGTTTGCACTCAAAGATCCTCTGGAAAATCCTCGCTATGGAGGTGAGGAACAAGAAACTCAAGAAACAAATACAACTAGAGGATATGCTTGTTTATTTGACCATCAAAAAAGCTATGCTCAGTGACCATACTGGAAGTTCACTTCAACAAGGCTCTTGTCATACATCATAAAATCAAAGACAGCTTAAGCTACACGACGTAATCATTTATTGTCAAGTATCTTTAGTAGCATGTAATCAATATTTTCTAATCCAGCATGTTATCTTTAATATCAATTACTCCAAATTTGWTGTCTTATATATTAAAAATATGGATAGTTTTGTATACACCAACTTGCAAGAACATTGACATACGAAAAATAGAACATTAGTTTAGTGGGATAGGAATTAYATTAAAAAACAAAAGAAGATCATTGAAGCTGAACTTTTTCTTTTGTCTTTTAATGCATTATTCCTTTCTCACTAAATTACTAATGTTCTATTTTCGTATGTCAACGTTCTTGCAAGTAGGTGTATGTTGAARATGGTATARAATGTTTGAATTGTGTCAAGTCAATGGTGACAGCTGATGAAATACTAATRAAACAAAWTATTTCTTGCAAATAGATAATTTTTCATGATGGAAAAAAAGAAGAAATTTAAAATACATTTTGAAAGGAATCTAGGAAAGGAGAATGTCAGGGGGATAAAGAGGGTACATAATAAGGGAAGAATGTTTTAAACTAGTTCACAAAAATATATAAATTTGTACTGCTTTGCTTAGCCTGTGGTTATGTAACTCAAAATTTCTTAGTCTTATAAACATTGGATTGACCATTCATGAATTTTGTTAAAACCAGTCTATGGAAATGGTTAATGCACGAACATAGTTTCAACAAAATCATGATTTTTGCTTCATTGGAGCTATTGTGAATTTGTAGAAAATTCTGATTTCATGCCACTAAAGATTCTCGTTATTTGGAAAACAATTTCTGGAACATCCATTCTWAAACGATCCATGTATTAATTACTATTCTTGGTCCCCAGCAATAATTGTCTAAACAATGGAAAATATTGTAATAAAGGTTCAGTCCTTTTGGATCCAATAACCTGGATAAGGCTTTGGGTTTAAGGCTCCTTTACGCCAACCAATTTCTTGTTGCCCTGGGAAATAAGAAACATATTCAAATATTAATCTCTGTTCACCAATGGAATAGTATGTAAGGAATGTTACACTTTTTGAGATTAAAAAAATGATGTTTTTGCTATTTAGTTGAGTACAAATATATTTATATGTCACACTTTGTTGCTGTCGAAATCAAAAAATACAATTAAATTAAATTTCTTCAAAAACAATATTCTCCATAATTTTTTTTAATTGCTAACACCAAAACTTTAACACCAAAAATGGCTGTGTGATATATTACTGTAATGGTACTTTCACTTTTACTGGATTTTTTAGTAGGGTAATAAAAGAGAGACCAACCATAATTCAAAAAAGATCATAGTTACTTCTTTATCATTTTAGAATTTATAGAATTCTGTGATAAAGCTGTAGACAGTGTAAGCCGGTGTTGATTGATTGGATGATCAAGCTAATTGAAATACAATGCTTCAAAGGCTAGACAAAACTATGCTGTTGTTAGACTGTTGAACAAAAAAGTACCTGAACTATGATTAGGTTGAACATCCAGGGACGATTACTTGTAAAATTTCAATAGTTTTAAGCACCAATCTATATTAAGACATGATACTACATTTCTTAATCAAATGCTGAGAGTCAGAAAGGAAATTTTTTAAGTTGGACTGACAGATATTCTAAGAGTGCACTTGATATTGTYGTATCATCTTACAGCTGATAACTAAATATTTTCTAGATTGAATTTTACTTTTATTCTACGGAAATAGGAGGTAAAGTAAAGTGCTTGTATTGTGCTCAAAATAAAGTACATTTTGTACAGCTTTTGTATTTTTTGCGATAGTAGAATTAAGTTTAACAATACATTCTGTTGATTTTAAATTGAAAAATGATGATTTGAAATTAAAACCTTGACTTCAATGACATCAGTGTGTTACTTATTAATTGGATAAAGTTGAAGGAAATTTATATTCATGCTAATATTAAAATTAAACTCTAGGATGGTTATAATAATATTGTTGATTAAATTAAATTTACATGTAAAGTCAATAGATCACTTTTTTATGTTTTCATTCAGATATCAATAACCAAGCACTAAAACTTTACTAAATGCATCACATTATGAATTTTCAATAATATTAAAAGTAATTGTTTTTCAATAACTAGCAATAATGGCAAAAAGCACCAAAAACTAGACTTTTGTATGAGTTTTGATCCCAATTTTTTTGCAGCGTTAACACTCAAAACCTCTTTTAAACAGTTAGAAACGAATGTACTATGATAAAATGCATTTGTATTAGAATGTTACTTTGTCAGGTTTTTTTATAGAAAACATATGGGAAATAAGCAAATGAAGGCCTAAACCTCATTTTCGAATAACATTTTTGCTTTGGGTTAACATTTTGATTCCACTTTCATTGCTCATCTCCACTTCCAAACAAGTTAAACTTTCTGAATAACAAACTTTTAGCCTTGTACAACAGCTTTTCTTCAAGAAAATAGTTTTTGGCGCTCACTGCTTGAATACGAAAAGAATTCTCTCTTAATTAATGATTACTAATTAAGAATGATGAGGTCCACTTATACATGGAGGCTGTGAAAAAATTGTATAAAGTTATTGCATTATAGAGTGCTAATAAATATAAAATATTTCTATAATCCAAGTTAACTTTTTGGTATACCTTTTTGATCTCCTCTTCTTCGCGCTTTTCATAATGTGCAAAGTCATCAAAAATAGACGTTTGGTGCTTATAGGACTGAACAATTTTCACAACCTGACGAGCCTTGTCTGGTGGAATTTCTTGGGTGTCCCGTGAGTTAGTTACGGGTTTATTGTCATTATTCTCCAGGCGAATATGACGCAAAGCATTATTGGGTACGTCCTTCACGTAGTACCATTTTACTTCAAATTTCCCTTTCCATTTATCCTGAGACCAAATGCCGGTCTCTATGTCAAGATCAACTTCTGACATCATCTGAGCAATTCCACAAAAGTGTCCACTACCATTTACACTAAAAACAAGGTAGACAGGCCCAACTTTCATTTGCTCTTTAAAAGCTTCATTTAGACGACGGTTGCCATGCTCAGTGCTGGTCCAAACACTATACTTAATGGAACGGTGAATGTCATCCTCGCTGTAGCTCTTAATGATAAAGTAACGTGCATTACTGTGTAAGAGTTGGGGGTTATCCTTGCTGTTATAGTTCCACTTTGCTCTTAGTCTCTCAAGAACAGGCAAAGTTTCACCAGAACTACCGACATTTGAATTCAGTCCTACATTTCCAGTAACGCCTGTACGAGGACGTTGCCCACGTCCAACTGCTGGCTTGTTGGCATTTGATTTTGCCACAGTTCCCCAAGATGGAGTTTCCCCTTTTATAATTCCCATGCCGGACGATGGAACATGTCCAAGTTGTTGTATTGGTTTTTGAGGAAGAGGTTTGGGTTTTGCTGGTTGACTAGCAATYGCAGCCCATGACTTAGGCTTTGAGTCCAAATGTTGTTTTCCACCGGACTGTCCGTTCCCATGTGGTCCAATGTTGTTGTCAGTTGGGCCATTTTCATGCTCATTCACACTAACACTCAAATTGGACAAAGCCTTCTCCATACTAACAGGCCCACCAACTCCGATGGGATTGAGAGTTTCAGAAACAGGAGGTGGGGGTGGTTGGTAAAAGTTTTGTAGCAACGGAGGTCCTCCAGTAGCTGGAGTTTGTTCTCCCCAAGAGATATCAGTTGAGCTCCCGGGAAAGTACAACGCMGGGGCCGCTTGAGTTAGAAACATATTGCTCGACGTGTTGTGATTCAGATTACCCAAAAATGCATTGGAAACTGCAACTCCGTTATTATGACTAAACATCTGATCAGGAAGCAACTGTTCTCCGCCACTGCTAACATTGAAAGCAGTAGACGGGAAGAGAGTACTTGGGTTTAGCGTTGGGGAAGACCATGTGCCGTCCCCTATACCAGTGTTCAAGTAAGGAAAAGGCATTGCTGGGACTCCAGTGTTTGATGTTGAAGACGTATAGTACGGCGGCAAATACGTATCTCCAGCAATTGAACTTGCCAAGTGATCCCTCGGAAGCGAATTTAATCCGTTTTCGTCCAGCTATTGAAGTCCGTCATCGAAGCGACGACATCAGAAACATGTGCAAATAGAAAAGAAACATGGCGTTAGCAGGATTTTCCAATATGACCACATTTTTCATAGTATTCCATGAAACAGCTTGAATTTTAYGCTGACGAGCTCTTTACCTTTCTGGATGCTGAGTTAAGGTATTTCCTATAATCCTCGTTTTGAATTTCGCCGTTCTTGCGTTCTACGTAGCCTGCCGAAGAGAGGGTTATAGAGTTACTAAATATATTRGCATGGCTGATAAACGAGAATCGAAGTTCTCGCCGACAAATACAAACCAGCCCCACGAAAAAAGCTAAAAACTATTAACAAACTCAATCATAAAGTTTTACCTTGACTGTTATAATCTTTAGGCCTCTGAGTCGTAATGAACCGTGCATGAGGAAATATCGAAAGTAAAAAATAAAACGAAAAACTATTAGCACAACGCACTCGCTATTCTCCCGGATATTCGGCCAAAAAAACTCCAGATCAACCCTGGAAAACCTACCTGTTCAATCGTTGTTGACATTCCAGGTTCTTTTCGACGCGTATGTCGTAAACCAGGGTCCTCAGAAGGAGAGATAAGTCAAATTTAGAACGTTTTTCTATCTTTGGAGAAGAAACAAAAGAAAATGGTCGTCAACTTGGCTTTGGTTTGTGAGTTGCGCGCGTTCTTTGCGTGACTGGTGGCCGCAGCCATTACGCAACTTGTCAATCAAATTGCCATATTTGGTGTGATGCCCGATCGAGGCTCGAATTGAAACGCGGGAAGGAGGACTGGAAGAAGCCACAGGAAGACCACCACTTTATATTGAAAAAGACGAATATTTTAAAATTTCGTTTTTCTTTTTTCACAGATCAGACAATAAAAAAAAAAGATGAATACGTTGTCAGAGCAACCTTAATTCAGTATACCAATGATATGCTCTAAATGTCGTCTCATCCCATAGAGGAACTATCAAGAAAGCTATCGCATACCAGTTACGTATCACAATATTCCTAAAATACTGGAAAGAAGCGGAAAGCTGTTTAATTTGATAATGAGGTAGTTCCGTGCAAGTTGACGTGACTTTCTTTTTCATTTTCACCTTGTGTATCTAGCATTAATGAATATCAAGTGGCTCATCATCATCTAAACATTTCCGCAACCAACACCATATTTGGTATACGGTTAATACCAAAGACCTTTAAGGATATTGACATTGACAACACCAAGAAGAAAGCAGGAAATACAGAATAAAACTCGAAATAAAGTGGCTTATCATCACTCAGGAGGGAGGGGAGAGTGAGTGGTCAACAGTAGTATAGGGGATGGGGGTTCCAGCGCAACGACCACCGGAGGATTACCCGTCTAAAGTACCCCCCTCGATTCGTACCGCGATTACCCGCATCCCGTGTTTATGTAAGATATGTTAGTCTATATATGGAGTGCGAAGATTGTAAAGAGTTTG